AAAAATCGTTGCGTGAAGTGTTGATATATTGCCATTCATAAAGGGTGCCTTCAATGGTTATTGAATCCACCATAAAAATTCCTCGCCTTCACTTGGAGATCATTTATGAGAAGATAGCGTTGCCCTCTTTGTGATTAATGAATACTAATTACATCAATAACTTCAACTTTATTTGAACGATCGTCAAGAAAATGAATACTTTAACCTTCCAAAATGTAGAGAAATATAGATATATTTTACGGTCAAGTACTTTTGATGCCTCAACAGCTCGTGTGGTGTGTTGAGTAATGGTTCAAGTTATCTAGAATGAGCTCCTCAAAAGCTTGATATAGAATAACTAATTTTTGTTCTTGATTGAATAAATAAATGATTTCCTTCTCATTATACTTCTCCTCTTCAACAATGTTATGGTGATCAAATTTTTTTGACATAATGGCTGACCGACACTCACAATGAGGGCCCACTTCTTTTTTGGACTCTTTTATTCACACGAGGCCCACGCGATATGAGAGGATATCAACCATTATGTCAACATTTTTTTGATAAAGTAGTTTAATTGTTTACCCTTTCTAGGTCTATAATAACCAAAGAAATTTTGTCGGCGAATCAAATAAAATATTTGCCTTGAGATACCATCCCAATATGCTAAGTAGCAAGGAGTTGAGACGGTGGATGTATTACCATTACCTCCAAATCTTACATCATTTTGTCCACGATATTCACATTGAGATTATGTGCAAATGGTTCACATATTGTGAACATTTGAAACCACAACAAATTATTTGACAAGCTCGATGCTAACAAAATATAAATATCCAACATATCTTGTTAGTAAAAATCAAAGCTAATCTTGTGAATGATTTCTCAAAGCAAATTTTGTGTATATCTATGAAAAATATTCTCCATGGTCGCTCGTGAATTCTCAAAAATGTGGAAAGGACGTGTTTGGAAAAAATAACACTTTGACCATTAGAAAATGACAATTATATTTGTTGGGAAACTATTATCACCGGGGTAAAACGGAGAAGAAACAAACAACCATAATATCAAGAAGATGAAGAACAAAATGAATATGAAGGCTCAAATACGAGATCGCTGTCCTCGAACGATATTTTGCCCCTCTCAGAATTGAATGAGATGCTTAAGGGTTTTGGCAAACAATTTGTAGGATTATAATAAGCCTTGTAAAGGGTTTAACACTAAAGCACAAGTATAATCCTCCAAAACTTGAAAAACACAAAGGAAAATATTGAATATGAATGTAAATCAACGGGTTGATTCAATTTGGAATGATATGTTGATCTCAAGATGCTTTTCAATGTTTTTATTTTTTCTTTCAGCCAAAGTATTTTGTTCGAATGTTATAGGTGCAGAACATTGGTGAGTTATGCTATGTTATTCACAAACCAACTTAAAGTCGCTGAAAAAGTATTCACCAACTCTATCACTCCTTAAGGTTTTAATTTTCTTTCCCGAATAATTTTCAACTTCATTCTTATACATCTTAAACATATCAAATGCTTCATTTTTATGCTTTAATAAGTAAACATATGTATATTCAAGAAAAATCATTAATAAAAGTGATGAAGTACCTATTTCCACATCTAGTTAACATGTCATTTAATCCACAATTGTTGAATATTTGTTCAAAATTAATGGAATGATAATGGGCTAATTGTTGAGCTCAATTATAGAATCAATGAAATTAAAAGAAATTGAAAACGGAAAATTTGATTTTATTATTTTTGTGCACACGCAAGATGTGTTTTGGCCAAAACAGAATTTGCTTCTACTATGCGTACACAAGATTTATACTATGCCTGCGCATGGTATTAAAAATAATCGTTGGCTAGTTTTCCAATTTAAAACTTGAGGACCGTTTTGGATTAAAAGTTATCATTTTTCATATGTTTTGCCACAATTTCATGGTGTATTGATTGATGCCTATAAATAAGTGATGAATAATCAATACAAGCACAATAGAAACATTGAAAAATATCTTGAGATCCACATATCATTCCACATTGAATCGAACTATTGATTTACATTCATATTCAATATCTTCCATTGTGTTCTTAAAGTATTGCACGATTGCACTTGTACTTTAGTGTTAAATCATTTAAAATGCTTGTTATAATTCTACAAACCATTTGCCAAAACCTTTAAACATCCCATTCAATCCCGATAGAGAACAAATATTGTTTGAGGACAACGATATCGCGTTTGAGCCTTCATATTCGTTTTGTTCTTCATCTTCTTGGTATTCTGGTTGTTTGTTTCTTCTCCATTTTACCCTGGCGATGATAATTTTCCAACAATCTCAACGATATTTGGTGATGGAGAATGGAACCACTATGGCATAAATCAAGTTGATGGATCGAGATTTTGTTCGTGTGGATCATTCGATGGCACTAACTTCACGAGATGGTTCGATTTGTAGAAAGACATGAATCCAGATCCTTGCATTTGGATTTCGTAATTTATCATTTCGCCTTCTCCAAATTCGGTAAGTCAAAATTGCATTTCAATTTCACTCATGCATGCGGTATGTTTTGTGAATAAAATATACACATTATCTATGTTACAACCCAATGATTATAAGATGAATCTCGGTTGTGCATAAAGTTGTTGCGTGTTATAAGAATACTCGTGAAAGTGGAAATATGGAAATTATGACGTTGCATTAAAATTAAAGATGCATGTTCGTTTCATGGTTATCTTCTATAAAGTATATATGATAAATATTTGATGGCATCACATACAGAAAACAAATTCCATAGAGATTTCCTACTAGTGGAAAGAATCTGAATATTATGTCCATAATTACAAATTGCGTAGTTGTATAAATTCCTTACATGATATATTTGGCTAGAATAAAGCATGTCTGCGATCTTTTTATTTGAATATGCTTTATTATAGAACTTGATTTATAAGCAATATATGCAAATGGTAGAGGCTTATGAAAGACTATGGTGTAATTGTCTTGATGTCTATTATGAAATATTCTATGATCAATTTAAATGATGGAAAATGAATGTCTTTCTTTGTTAATCCATATGATTTACATGGATGTACTAACGTGGAAAATGTGGTTTTGAAAGGAATAATTGATATTCCTTAAAATTGTTAATCCATGTTCTACTTGATGTCTCAAGGATATTTATATTATTATGGTGTGATCATCTCTCTTTACATAATCATTGTTATATTAAATTAGGTCTAAAAGGACCTTTAATTGTATTAATTTACAAAATTTATGATCTACTCTAAATGGCTTGCATAACCCTATATTTAAAATATGATTATGTTTACAATGAGAATGACAAAGTGATGTGTGGCAATTGTTATAGCCATTAGGTGAGTTTAACTATATGATTCGTATGTACTTGTAAGTTGAATTGGTCTAAGTGAAAATCATCATTTGGTGACGAGAATTAACTTGCTTAATGACTTGAAATTGGAAAAGGTGCATTGCTTGGAATGATAATATTGGAAGAATGCCAACTACTTGTTGAAAGTGTATGAAATTCAATAACCATTTCTTTTATTGGAATATGAGAATGACATGATAAACTAGTTGGTTGAGTTCATGTCTTATTAAATTATATTAACTTTGGCTAATGTTGATAGCCTCAACTAATTTGATGAAATTAAGAGTGATGATTTATGGAAAATTGTGTATATATGAGTATGACAAAATGTGAATAAGGTGAAACATGTACCTTATTATCCAATATGATATAATGCTATATTGTGAAAGTGATAAATTGTAAATGATTAGAGAAGTTGCAATTCTTGTGAATTAAGAAAATTATTCTTCTTTATTGATTGAATACGACTTCAATCATGGAACAAATTGAGTTAATCTATGCTTAGAAAAGCATTGTTGGTCTATGAGATGACTGATCAAATTATGGGATCAAAATTAAAAATAGTTGGATTAAATCAAATTGCGACTTAACAACCACTATCTAGAAGTACTTAGACTTTCACAAATATTATCAAAGTGATAAGTGAATTGAACTATGAAAGAGTTGATGAACTCTAAGTTCAAGTATAGCCCAAAAATGTGGGGATGAACATAAATGGTTATGAACCTATATGAGAAGTTCAAAAACTTGTGAATGCAATATTACTAAATTGCATATGTATTCCTAAATAAGGAATTGTGGAGATAATTCAAAAAGTTACAGTTCCCTAAACCTTTTAATCATAGAAAAATTCTATAAAGGAGAAAATATAAAAAATCCTTATACAATTATAAGGTTAATATATATTAAGTCTAAAGTGGATGAAATGGATGAAAGCAGGTCATGGCACTTGCAAAACCAATGGGAATGTTCAAAGTATATTCATAAATTGAATATCATTGTAATGATTCAATAATGATAAATGTAACGACTTGGGTCTCTGTACTTGTCCAATTGGTACCAGGATTCAATTTAAGTCTTACTTAAGGGGAAGGTTATGAGTTCAAATTCTAAGGGACGCAACAGAAAGCCGTAAAGGGTAAGTGAGCGCAAAACCCACCCAAAGCGGACAGTACATAAACTAACGGGTTGGGTACAGAGACCCGACGCTTTTTTTTTGTAACGACCTGAGTTTTTGTACCCAACCCGTTAGTTTACGTTCTGTCAGCTTTGGGTGGGCTTTGCGCCTACTTACCCCTTACGACTTTCTGTCGCGTCCCCCAAAATTCGAACTCATAACCTTCCATTTAAGTAAGACTTAAGTTGAATTCTAGTACCAATTTGACAAGTACAGAGACCCGAGTCATTACAATAAGTGAATACCCAAGTATGAAATCCACAAATTAAAGTGATTGACTAGTGTAATGGTTGATAGAAATCTTTCAATCGTGTTTGGAAATCGATAAAACTTTAAATAAAGTTAGTGAGAAGCATGTAGCTTCATAAAAAGATTTCTTGGTGGTGACAAGCTATATCTATCAAATGAATCGATTGTGGGCTAGCTATATTTGATAAGATATTAAGTCACATATAATGAAAAGTCTAGATATATAAGTTTTAAACGTGACTTCACAAGGAAATTATCAAATGTTAAATAATTTTCTTAGAGAATTTAGCGGATCCTTTAACTAGATCACTAAAGAGAAATTTAATGGTCTCTGCTTCGAGTAGGATGGGGTTGAAACTCCTAAACTAAAAGGTCCATCAATGACGATAACCCTACCTATCATTACTCGAAAGGTAATCCACGAATTCAAATGGTATCAACAAGTCATTGAATATGTGGATAGTTACAACATTATTAAAATCCACGACAACCCTACCCTTATTAAATAATGCGAGTTGTTATTGAAGTGAGGGTTGAGTTTAAAGCTCTTAATGAAGTTCGGTGTTAAAACACAAGTACCTTTAAAAATAACAAATGTACTAGAAGAATTTCACCTAAACGAACTTCGAGATGGTGCCGCCTTATTAGAGAGTTGGAGTTCTTCTCTTAAAAGTTCTTTAAATGGGATGAGCGCAAGACCATATTAGCATTAAACGAGTTGAGGAATTTGAGAACACATGATACTTATGTGTGTGTTCTTATCGATATTGTCACAATGAATAATTGGTTCAAAACTTCCATGCTACCTCTAATTCCATCTTTACTTTGTTTGAATTACACTACGATTAGATTTAAATCGAAAGATATCTAATCCTTATGCATAAATGTCGTCATTTTGAATATGTGATCATATTAATTTTGAACAAGTGGGAGATTATTGAATATTTGTTCAAAATCAATGGAATGACAATGGGCTAAATTATGGAATCAAAAGAAATTGAAAAACGAAAAATTTGGTACGCATAAGCTTATTTTTATGCGTATAGGAGATGTGTTTTGGCCAAAAATAGAATTTGGTTTTACTATGCGTACATAAGATTTATACTATATGTACACAGTGTTAAAAAATAGTCGTTGGCTAGTTTTTCAATTTGAAATTTAGGGACCGTTTTAGATTAATAGTTGCAATTTTTTTATCATGTTTTGACACCATTTCATGGTGCATTGATTGAGACCTATAAATAGGTGATAAATAATAAATACAAACACAATAGAAACATTGAAAAACATCTTGAGATCCACATATCATTCTACATTGAATCAAACTATTGATTTACGTTCATATTAAATATCTTCCTTTGTGTTATTAAAGATTTGGATGATTACACTTGTGTTTTAGTGTTAAATCCTTTACAAAGTTTATTATAATCCTACAAACCATTTGTCAAAATTATTAAGCATCTCATTCAATCACGAGAGGGTTCAAATATCATTTGAGGACAACGATTCCGCATTTGAGCCTTCATATTCGTTTTGTTCTTCATCTTCTCTTTTTTCATCTTCTAGATAGTCTGGTTGTTTGTTTCTTCGTCATTTTACACTAATGATGATAATTTCCCAAAAATATTTGCATAAAAATCTATCCAAAGTGGTGCCTTTGGTGGATACGAAATCTATCAACTTCTTGATAAACAAAAAATATTGTCCTCACTTGGAGATCACTTATGGAGAAAAGAGTTATGCTACACAAATAGGGTAACACATGTCGGTCATTAATTAGACAGTTTGGAAAAAAAAAAAACTCCCAAACAGATGTGGACACGCAGGTGCTTTTCACATCTTTCCTCTCACCGATCCTGGCCAAGTATCTATACTCATGCAGAAGATGACAATGTCCTCGACAAGATTGATGAATACTAATTAAGCATGGACATTATTTGACACAAAGAAAGTTTTGAAGAATGGTGAATTTTTGATAAATGTGATTAAAACGTAGGGGAAAAGTTTTGGGTCTCTGTATAAAATATTTTATTGTGTGAATTTATAATTAAAATATAAGTATTTAAAATATAGAGTTTTGAAAACTTGTGATTAAAAAGTTATAGATCGCATAAAATTTATATAATTAAAATTAATTATTGACTTTTAATTTAAAGTAATCATTGCTAAACAAGGACATATTATCTAGCATCCGTCCATATGATGGTGAACTTCATTATCTGCATCTGTGAATACTATTGTTTCACGTTTAGTTTTAGTACTTCTTTGGTAGGAATTTTGATAATTAATTTTTTGATCGTTAGAGATAAAGTGGATCAAGAATTAAAAATATCGACTGAAATAATAAAATAACGATCAATAAATTATTTTAATTGACTTAATAGTTATACTAAACGAGCTTTTAAAAAGAGGGGAAAAAAAGTAAAACGATGTTTTGTCGTCGAAACTTTTTTATTTTTTTAATAATAAAAGATGTATGAAAACGCCAATTTTCACTTTGACAATGAAAAAGCGAATAAGTACTCCCTACTCCATCTCAGGACAGGGTATAAACTAGAAAATCACAGAGAGAATTGGAAAAACACGGAGAGGGAGAGAGAGAATGAAAGGAGGGAAAAAGAAGCCCAGTACAGAGTACGTAAAACCTCCTTTACCGCCACACTCTGACCACCCGACCACAGCGAATGGCGAAGACGATGTAGCAGCTGCGGCGGAGGACCACCGAGAGGAAACTGAGCGTTTTGAAGCTACAGGGGAGACTTTGGAAGAAGAAAACGATGGAGACGTAGATGATGACTCCGAAACTGAAAAAGACTATAACAACTTTGAAAGCCTGCATATCGAAGAGCCCGAGGCGGGGGCTGAGGCCGAGCGCTCGAAGCTTGCTGATGGGTATTATGAGATCGAGGCCGTACGCAGAAAGCGAGTCCGAAAGGTGAGTCATTTCTCTCTTTTTTACGGGTTTAGAGAAGGTGGGATTTTTTTATCAGATTATTTTGTTTGTTAATTTTTCTATTTAAGAGGAGTTCAAAAAGAAACGAAAATAGGGTACTAATACTGGTGAGTTTCTCGAATTTCTTCCTTTTTTGCTGATTTTGTGCCTGTTTGATGATTTGGGGGCTTTCTGTAATGCGAAAATTGAAGGGCCAAGTGCAGTACCTCATAAAATGGTAAGTGTTTTAGATACGGTTTGTACATATGTATATGAATTTTTGTGTTAATCAATGTAATGAGTTGTTCTGGAAAGGCGTGGCTGGCCCGAGGCTGAGAACACATGGGAGCCTGTAAGGAATCTATTGCAATGTTCTGATGTTATTGATGCTTTTGAAGAAAGGTAGGTTTTATTTCGATTTTTATGGCATTTAATATGCATATGGAATAATTGGGATGATGTTTATGCAGCTTACAGATGCTTCCTTCTTCTTTTTTTTCTTTTTTTTTCCCCGTATTTTGAAGTTTGATAACAGGTAAAAGTAGGTCGGCTCGTGGGCGAAAGCGCAAACATGGAATCACTCATGCTCAGGTGAAGAAAAAACAGCAGCAGCGACCTTCTGTAGCTGCTACATATAATGTGCCTTCTCATAGGGTTGGGGTTGCGGAGGGCCCTATGAACTATCCTCAGCTAAATAACTTAAATGTTTTGAATGGCAAAGGGAAAACTGATGTCAGCGGTGTGAATGGCTTTGATATATGCAAGAAACTAAACGAGCATGGTATGAAAATGGGGTCCCCTACGAGGGGAGAAAGTAACGAGCAAAATGAATTGGATCTGAAGCTTTGTGAACTGAAGGAATCAATTATGGTCAGTGAAGAGAACGCAAATAAGTTTGGTGTACATCATTCACAAGAGAATTTAGTTACTGGAGGAGACATCCTTGCAAATGGGTTGCCCAAACCTGATGGTGGGGATCCAGTTCAATCTGACCGCTGCACTGGAGCTAAAAAGAGGAAATCTTTTCCAGTTAAGAGGTTCAAGCAAGAGTTGGTATTACGCAGTGGGGATGACACACAAAATGCAATTTCTACTTGCAGAGCATGTTGCAAAGTGAGGATAGAGTGATTGCCGTCCTTGTATTCTTCTTGGAAGTTGGAAATTTTTTTGATCCCATTCATAGTTCACTGGTAGCACTCAACCACGAAGGTAGGCCTGGTTAAATGCTTGAGTGAAAGAGAGTGTATTTCTCCCTCTCCCACCCTCCTTGAGCCAAATTTTCTTCATTTTTCTGAGTTAACTGCACATTTGATGCAAGGTGGACTGTTAGGTTCCTCAAGAGTAGCTGATTTAGCCCAACAGTTAATT